AGCCCATTGTGTAGCTTTGTGCTTAATTACAAAAACAAAACAAACTTGCATTCGTAGGCATATCATCGTTGTTTTAAAGCTTATATTTGTGTATGCCGTTTATATTGTACAGATTACTATATGATTTATTTTCATGCAGACTTGGGACATAGTTTATCATTTTGCTAAACTTGCAATGACTTCGGTGCATAGTTTATTTGGGCCCGGCGTGGCTAGGTGGTTAGGGCGCTCGACTCCCAATCTGAAGGTTCGAATCCCCGTCCCACCAAACATGCTCGCCCTTTCAGCCATAGGGGCGTTATAATGTTCCGGTCAATCCCACTATTTGTTGGTAAAAGAGTAGTTTAAAAGCATTTTAAAAGAAAGGGTAAAAACGTGTGTTGTGTGTAAACAAAGTCTTTACAAAGCTGTTTTATAGAGACCTATAAAGCTATTTGATTCAGCATCGATCATATCATCAGCCTAGATGAAATAATGAGAACTTGTATCTGGCAATTCTTATTTGCTTGCTTTATGGAATTTGTTTTTCAATATGAGTAGATATGGTTTACATTAGGATTAATTTCACACAATTAAATCTAATTGAATACGCAATGGTAATGGGACATGTACAGTGCTGCCTAAGTTAATCTCAACCTTGTGATGCGGGTTGGCTCTGTGATAAAGTTGTGGATTTTGGAACTGGCGAGCCGGGTTCGAATCCATGCGAAACTATAAAATATTCCTCGCATTTGAAGTTGTGGGTGCCTAAGAGTAACATTCAACCCCTTAGCATGGATTCTAGGGTGCTGCTAACTGGCAGGATTCCTTCTGGTTAATAGTTCAAAGTTAGGGATGGTGTCAGGTAGTCTTAGTAGCTTTACTATAAAGAAAAGATACAAATCTCAATAGTATATACCAAATACATTCATCTAGTTTCATAAGTACGTTTCCAATCTCAAAGGTGTTTTATTCTTTATGAATCCACCCTCATAGAGGGGGTATAAACAAACATACATCAGTTATTCGACATAACTCATGACCATGTCGATACAAATTTGCATAGTAATAAAAAATAGTTAAGGTTGATTACTTAAATTAAATACACATAAAATTAGTAATAACAAA